TGGGCGGTGCAGACAATCGATGTCCGATGAGCCAGCTTAATGCAACGTGCCTGTGCTTATGAGAAAAAAGACAAGCCTCGCGATCCAGTGAGCGACTGCGAGTTGAACAGCCAAGTATGTGGGTGACTGGATCGCTACAGCCATCTCAGGTGCCTACAAGAAATTAGGGTTGGTGATCTTAACCGTCCTTCTGAATTCCGCGAGTGGTAACTCCGTATTGTTGATGCCGATCGCACTCATGTGTGGGTTACACGGCTTCCCAGACGATTCCCTCAGTTTTGATTCCAGCTTGATGCAAAGCTTATGGCATGTTCTGGAATATGAAATAATCGACTTGTAGTGCCTTAATTCCTTGGAACGTAACAGGAACGTAAGACATACGTGCCACTTTTATTCCGTTTTTTAGGAACATCATCTTCTTAGATGACTTAGGAGTTTCTAGCACCATTTACTGAGGCCAGTGACATACCAGCACTCGAAGTTGTACAATGCAGCACAAAATGTCCCCTTCTATCTCTAGACAGGATTAATAATAGAAAAACCTGTTTAACTAACTTCGCTACAAGCCATCTGGTGCTTATTCCGACAACTCTGTAGGCATAAGTGATTTCTCTATCCAGCAAAGGTAACGGTCCGAATCACTTCAGCTGGCATCTGCAGCACGACTCGTTAACGACTGATAATCAAGAAGGGGGATACCGCAATCAGGAGCATCGCAAACGTTGAATGCATATCAGTTGCAGTTATTGTAGTAGGTGGTGATAGTAATCCGGTAGGCAATGTTTCCTTGTGTGACTTCTTGAGGTTTGAATGTCCTAAGCTGAACGTGATCAGAAAAAAAGTAAAAGCAACCACATCGGCGTTTCGTACTTGATAGGGGATCGAAAATTAATGTATGCTTAGAGTGACCACAGTTGGAAGTAATTTAGATATTGTTACAGGACATTTCGCTTGCCCTAGAGACCTATTAGGAAAGACACTGTTTTGCTCATGGTCACTCAAAATGACATATTGATTGAATGTAAACGGCTCGCTGATGAGTAATCTACTGAGTATGTGTCCAGCTGTCCAAAACCAAAGATTCGTTTAACTGGTAGGTTGACTAACCCCAGCAGCAAAGTGTCTAATTTTATCGTGAAAATAGCAATTGACCCACCCCATTCTACAAACCGTGCAGCCAGTCAATTTGAACAGCTTAGAACTTTATCTTAGCCTGTCTTAAAACGCCTCTTTGGACGTCTGTTCCTCAAACTCGTAGCAAATACATTTTCGCTGGTATATGGTGCTGACATTTGTATACTCAATAATGTACATATTCAGAAAATGCCATGCAGTATTGTACCAACACAAAGGATGCGTTTAGGGCAACCAGCTAACACAACCAACACTCAGTCATGATTCTCGGTCATCTCTTGAGGTTTTCTTCATCTATTATCGTAGGTGTGCTGATTCAAATTTCTCGAGAGAACCAGTCCATGGGGCTTGATTTTAGCCAGATACGGCACCCTATCCCGCTGAATGTATAGAATACTTTTTAGCGTTTCTTTCGAAATATGTACGTTTTGGCAGGATCCCATCCTCTTGAAACCAAACGACCCAATTCTATGGGTTATAGACAGTGCTTGTACAATAAGGCTGACCGTAATAGCAAGTTGGAGCTAACAACTACTAATCACACTATCGGGGAAGATGTAAAGACATCCAGTAAGTTTGGTGCTGGAATATTTACCCAAAGAGTCAACTTGGCCTTACGTTTAACGTGGTAGATTGATAATCATATAACCTGTATCGGACCCAAAACCAAGCGAGCCTTGCTATTCAGATTCAAGTGGTTTCGCCAGTTAACAGGGTTAAAATGCATCTATGAGGCCTGAGAACCAGCGCAGAGAATCTAGCAACTTTCTAGGTTACCCTACTGCAGTTCCTGCAATTGCTGCACATCGTCAGACCTTCCCAATTAGGCGTTTCCACACTACGTAGTGCGGTGTTTGGTGTTACGCGCCTAAGAAGTCTTCCGCATATCCCAATTGAATTTCGAATTTCATGTGAAAACCCAAACGAAGCTATTTGTTCGTAGGAGCCCATTGTCCGTATTGCGTAGCCCACCAGTGGATCGGCATCTCACCGCTAGTTCCAAATCATGCCGTTCCGTTATCGGAAGTATCCCGTTACTTCGTTACCGCACTGCTTACGTAGCATTATTGTCTGTCACTGCCAGACAAAGCCAGCTTATCCTGAGTGATCGACACTGTCGGTCTCAGTGATATCCACCCCAGCTAAGGCCCTGACTGCACCAAATGGACAAACGCGGTGCGGTGTTGTTACGCGCCTAAGAAGTCTTCCGCATATCCCAATTGAATTTCGAATTTCATGTGAAAACCCAAACGAAGCTATTTGTTCGTAGGAGCCCATTGTCCGTATTGCGTAGCCCACCAGTGGATCGGCATCTCACCGCTAGTTCCAAATCATGCCGTTCCGTTATCGGAAGTATCCCGTTACTTCGTTACCGCACTGCTTACGTAGCATTATTGTCTGTCACTGCCAGACAAAGCCAGCTTATCCTGAGTGATCGACACTGTCGGTCTCAGTGATATCCACCCCAGCTAAGGCCCTGACTGCACCAAATGGACAAACGCGTCACGCGTGTTTCGTCAACCGCCTAACCAGCCCAATGGATGAGACCAATGAGCCTGGTCCATGTTTCCCAGGCCGGAGCGCAGCTGTTATATGATCCACAGCGCAATCGCTGTCGTTCGATCAAATTTCCGCATGCTCTGCGGGACCTCGTGATCCTCACCGCGCCTGGTTGGAGACGCTACAAGTATGACTGCCAACCGATATCAGTGGCGATCTTTCTGTAAGTTTCTATTCAGATAGCCGAATGAGTGTCTGGAAATGTAGCGCCTCGGAATGATTGTAGTAAGCTAGCACCAAGTCCCTTCCTCGTCCAATTCTATTCTTTTCTTCACAACAGGGCTTTCAAATAAACCACAGCTGTACGGCAGCGAATCATCGGTGTTGAACACTGATGTTATGCTGTTGATGGTGATGATGATGATGATCTCGGTTACCAGATTTATACAGTGAGATTCCATTCTGCGTTTGAGATAGATTCGACCTAGATAAACAGGTAGAGTGGTCTTCTAAAATTTTGTCCACGGACAAGCACAACGATTGCGACATTACATTCAGTACGAACACTATCCGATAGCTGATGGGCATTTTCATTGTTTCATAGGGTAAACACAATCCCACCCTTCGATAAACAAGCGTCAGAAAAGCTGTAGCAGTGCGAGGTCTAACTACCAGTCACATAGCTGAAAATAAGAACACGTCTTTGGAAGAAGTCAGAAACACTGAAGCTGGTTTCTTCTCTTCTAAGTTACCTACCATCATGACGACAAACTCCCAGCGTTTTGCTTCACCGTTATCAGCCTTAACAACTCCATGAATCATCTCGAAAATGCTCGATTGTTTGACTTTCCACCGAGTTGTTGTAACGTACCGGAGTTCTGCTGCTGTGTTTAGCAAAGACTTGCAAGGCTTCCAGAATTTTTTCCCCTGTTACCTCTATCCTTCAGTGTGAGGCACCATTAGGAACAAAACTTCAGGAAAACTGATGGTTCGGTTGATAGTGACGTCGATTTCTATGGTCGCGTCCAGTGGCTCTGATTCGGTTTTTTTTTGGCTTCCAACCCCTTTCCATCCTTACCAAATAGAGATAGCAACTCCTTAAATTAATCTGGCTACTCTTCTCTTAGTTGGTCCACCGTCACAGAACTAAACGCGTTTTTGCATTGTCCAATTTTGCTGTATTCGCCAATACTACATCTACAATGAGGGGACTGTAACACTGTTCCATTCATCATATTATAAAACTGAATGCTTCCATCCTAAAAGCCGCAAAATACCACAACTGTTTTTTCACACCTTTTTCTTGAAGCCTCTTCATTTTGTCGCATATCGTTGAGGAAATCTCGTGTGACCAGCAGATCCTGTCTTCCAGTAATGACGGGTTCCCCGTCATTTGATGAATGCTCTGTATTGTTTCTGCAATTATCTTGTACAGACGCGTCATGCATCTTAAGCAACTCCAAGTGGAGTCACTGATACAAAGAACCATACAACTGCGATTACTCGCGCAACAAGGAAGACGGAACTACGGAGTTGGTTAACTAGGCAGGCTGTTTTTGCTGGTGCACCACACCAAGTGCTTAGAAGTGCTCAAACAACCTCGTTGTCATCCCAATACTCTCCGATCAAGGAACAACCGACCCATCGCAAACAGCACAACACGAATGAAGTGGAGCAGACAAATTAATTTGTACCACAAACGGAAGTGTGTGAAAAAGAATAAAGTGCACTAAAATATGTCCAACTTGGACAATGCATTAGGATGTTTTTATGACACGAGTTGACAAACGATAGTGCACAAAGAGTGAACTTCGGCCGTTTCACGGAGAACAGAAGGCACTGAAAACGGGAAAAAGAATAATTGAGTGGTTGGGATTTACGAATGCAGCTCGCTTAAGGGAGATATGTTGATTGTAGTAAGTTTAGTCAGAAGTAAGGAAATTACCTGGTTACCTTATGGACCTTATGGTATGAACCTTGCCGGACCTACGGCACGGACCAGCGATTCGGGGTACTGTTGGAGCCGACTGACCCTTCTGCGAGAGAAAGTTACCCGTAGATAAAGTAAGGGAGTAAATATGACCGAAAAGTCAACTGTGTAGTAGAAAACTGGGACTGGTCATCAAGCGGCAACATCCATTGCTAGTGTTCCTATTTCTGTGTCAATTTGTAGAGTTGTTGGATCTTTTCCAGATAAGCTCCGCCACCAATGCAAAAAGTGCATGTGCGAGAGGTTAAGCCCCGCCACTTTTTGCCGATTTAGTGTACGCACACAATCTTGACCTACTTTTGCTGAAAACAATTCCTCATCCGCATCTAGGCTCATTTTATGCAAAAGTTTTCTCCGTTCGCACGTAAAACCTTAACTGAACTTTCTGACGCTTTCAACTCTCGTTCATGACAAGTAGACGGCAATACGTCTTTTTGCAAAGCCAGGGAGTGATCCATCACCAACGTCTATGCAACAATGGCCACCAAATGACACTTTCAACTTTGCGGATCCAACGGCTGGAGCTCACATACAAACCATCGAATCTCTTTGGCAAGTCTACAAAATGCAGAATAAACGTCAATGCGGCACATATCGATCTTCAGCTGACAGCTACTTGTGTGAGTTCGTTTGGAGGCAAAGATATCGAAAAACGGACCTTTTCATGCAAATTGTTATTGACATGTCCCGATTTCACCCTCTTCAATAAAAACGAAAAGTACAACTTTCATATCCTCTTTTTGGGTGGTGGGGGTTAATTTTTTGGTGGGACTTAGCTGGAAAAGATCCGAATTGTTTTACTTTTCAATATTCAGGTGTTCGGTGACTTCTTTGCAGCACGGAGTCCCTATAATTTTGTCTTTTGAAAGAGTTCAAAGGCGAACGATGATGTCCCTTTCATTCTTTGTTTGGCAGAATGCCAAGTAGAATATGAGAACAATGAAACATTTTCTCCCATTCTATGGTTAGAAGGAAAAAACTATATTACTACGATGACCCAAAGTTCTGACGAATGAAAGCGCAAAATGTTTATAGCATATGAAGCGCCTGTAATTCTACCCAGCTTCATAACAACCACCCAAGTCCGGGTAGTCTATTCTGACATCGATGTCCACATTCAGAGTGGTCATTCCGAGTTCCATGTGAGGGCTGAATGATCCTCAAGCATGAATAGGTTCGTCTGTTCAGACGTGATAATTTAGACGCACCTAGCATGCACTGGCGAGATGGAGGCAACACCCTCGCCTAGCATGTCAGATGTACGGAGCTCAAATCACTGCACGGCTAAGGATATGCACTGCTGGTTAGCTCTAATAAGAGCGAAGCTCGAGTTCAATTCTTCCTTCCTTTAGTTTGGACCCACAAGAGGAGGACCATTCAAATGAGAGTAATGTGCGCTTGAATCCTACAAATTATGTAACTACGTAGAGCTCATTAATTTTTAAAGAAATGGTTGTACGTAGCTTTATTCAGGCCCGTTTTAAACATGGTACTTCTTGATCAGAACAGAATACCAGATACTAATTGGGGTCCGATCATTTATTTCTTCTTAAAAGCAGGTAGTGTGGTCTGGGAACCAGTTTGATTCTATTTTCACTGGCTTTCCCATCTTCATTGGAGCTTTTTAATTGGTTTCTCTGAGAATTCGCAGTCAAGTAAAGGGCTGTCGAAGAGTTTTCAGCAACCTTGTGAGTAGTTTCCTTCATAAAAATATACTGCAATATCTCGAATATCGTACCAACTGAAACATGAGGCGGCCTTTGTGCAGCACATTCCGGTGAGTCTCTCGTGAAAACCGGATCAACTTGTAAATGAGTGTGTTTATTGGTATCGCCTACAGTTTGTATTGATTAAAGAGAAATTCATTGACAAGACAAAGTTTGCGTGTTTACACGTTGTTACAGCCGAATGTAATCCAAAGGTGGGTAGATTAGTTCTTTCCTCGTGGTTGGACTGCACAATTCGGATTCTTAACTGAGTGAAACCGGCCCACATCTTCGGCACCGTGATTGTGTTTCACATTTAAATAATCTAAATACTTGCGTTATATTTATCATAAATATGAAACCTACATGATTATCAGATTAGAAATTAAGTTATTAGCTTACGTCACACCACAGTCAACCATGATATACAAACAATAGGTTTTTACATAGGAGTTTGTACTTTTCGCGAAGTTATATGAACACTATCCAAGAGTGCAGTCACAGTTACTCAAAGTATGCATAAGGTTTGGCAATCAAATATCGTAACATTATTGGAGCACTTTTATTAGTATAGACGTAATACACTACTCATAAGTTTGCTGAAAGTCCTTCGACAGCCTACGACCAGTTTTACCCTTCTTGGGGCTCATCAGGAAGACGCATTCCCCGAGTTTTCGTCAACATCATAAATGAGAGATTCATCCAGGTTCCAGGTGAATCTTTCGCAAAACCAAATTGGTTTGCAAATGAGTGTATATCACTTTGTTTCACTATTGTTTCAATAACTCTCCTTCCTTCCAAGTCTTTCTCAACGGGGAATCAAGCACTGGGATAATCAATAGATAGTTAGTCCTATAAGTACAGGCAGTACTGAAAAAGCTGTGCTCTTCTGAGATAGATTGCAGACAGTAGATTGGTAGGTGTACGCGGCCCATGGAAACTAACATGGTCGCGACAGTGTCGCACGGGGACGCAACATACCTATGTGTGCACGGATTTCATGATCAGGGTTAGGTAACTCTAGCTAGCCCTTCTATCGGCCAAACATAGTCATCACATTTCACCAGAGAAGCCATATAGTTACAATTTTTTTGTGGCAATTCTATGGAGATAAAACAAACACTCGAAATATTCCCATAAAATTCCGATGAATAAGTCACTTCCATTTGAGACTACTATGACTCATTCAGCACTGATAAATCTCCTTTAACAGATTCTAAAAGAGTTTGGAACTTTCGGATGATTAACCTGTACCATTGATAAGTGTCGTGGCATACCACCAATTTGTTACTAAACTTGACCATGGTAAATAGTTCCGTTGTCATTAGGGGTGGTGAAATAAGCAATTCAGATGTCAGTTTGGTAACCTTCGCTCCCGATGATAACTCTGGTCTTCATTTCCCCTTGACTGTAAGGTAAAACGGACAATCTGATGAAATCGTTTTTTAAAACATGAATTTATTTGCCATCTCCTTGTTTTCAAAATTCCGCTCCAGCGCAGAATCTCATGTTTAGACGGTTATTGGCTCTGGTGATCGCGTACTTTGAGTGGAACGATGGCATAAACATACGTGGATGTATGTTAATGTTACATGCAACTGCTGTTCCCACTCCAGTGCCTGGTGCCAGAAAGGAAGTCACCGAAAATTGGGTATACAAAGGCTCCATTTCAACAAGCGAGTGCGTGCGAGGCAATTCTGGACATTGATCCAGGCTGCCTGATAGGCGTTTAGTGAACATCCATCAACATCGGTCGTGCTTCTATGATATGCCTGAATGCTGATCCCATTCGGTTGTGCTTCTGTGGCGTGCTTGAACACTCATCGGCTTTTGCTAAAGTGATTGAATGATTGACGACCTGGATGCTTGCCAAGGTTCCTATTGAGATTTTGGTGGAGTTTTAGGGTCACAGTAGGTACTGGGTATTCTGCGGTGACTTTCAGGAATATGATCTTGATAGTTATGCACGGTGGAACTACTGTGATCAATACGTTCCCACTTATATCATGTCCATAAAGACGCGAACAGCACGAAAGCTCCCACTTTTGGCCACACTTCGATCAGTCCAGATAATCGATATTAATCCGTGTTGGTTGTAGTGTGCAACTTCTCTTCTCATTAGCTTAACAGAACAGGTCAGAGACGTAGCAGAACTGTCTTCGTGCAAAATATAAAATGACAAGCATCATTTTCAGACCAAAAATACGCATTGTTGACATCTGGGTACGCTGGGTGGGCTTATTACTGCGCCCTATTTTAGGGGGGACAGATCCCCATTGAGTGAAACCGTTTAATCTTATACGGCGTGATCTGTGTCGCCAGGCGCGAGTAGATTGGCAAAAGTGTCATTGAGGGATGGGATCACACTATCGCTTACTATCTTTCCGGTCGCCCAAGAAAATGCTCAACTCAGGACCCCGTGGCACCTATCCATGTCTTGCATCGCTGCATTGGAGATTGACAGGCGGAAGCTACGTGTTAGTTAGCTACGGGTTAGTGCGCATCCTGCAACGCTATGCTCAATGGACTATCACAGAGACGACTTCTACATCGAATTCGATTCATGTTATGCTCTTAGTTCCGCCAATTCATGTTTATTCCGATTCACATTTCCCTTCCAACGTGAATTACCGTAGGCGGCTGTCGTCACCGGTTGACCCAGCGCTCTGACTGGTTCTGCTCCTGATTCACTGTCCGGTCAAAAGTCGACGTCTGTCATGTCCGTGCGCTTTAGTATTCCGTGTGACCCCCAAATGAATTCTGTTCTGTCTTCTACAAACGTGACACAAAAATACACTCTAATGCGATTAGTTCCGAAATCGGACAAGTTTTTCTCCCTGGGGGACTTCAATGAGCGTGTCGGTCGAAATGAATCCCTATGGCCAGGTGATCCCGGACGCCACTGCTTCGGGAGTGCCATGAGCAGCGGTGACCAACTTCCCATATTTTGCACTATCCATGCGCGCCGACGCGAGATTACGCCTCAAACGGCAACACTGCCACATGGACACAGCCACGCAACCGTAACTCCGCTCGATCACTTTATCCTCCGCCAGTGAGACATGTGCATCACATCCCAGAGTGAAGCCACTAGCCAACCAGCATCATGTTTGAACATGCTTCGTAGGTCGCACTATGTCAACTATATCAATGAGTGCGCAAAAATGGGCGCAAGCCATCTCAGAGACCGCAATAGCCGGTTAATGTACCAGTTCCAGCCGGCCTCCACACTGACAACCTTCAGTTCCTCCAGCACGCTGAAGGAAGCGCAGCACACCTTGATGTCCCAGACGATAACAACAGCAGTCAGCTAGATTCAGCAGCTGCGCGCGAGATGTCCTGACTGGTTGGATCACAATAATTAGTACATAAAACAGAAGTTAGCCGGAACAAACAAGTCTCTCGTCCATCCAATGAGAGAGGTTAAGAGAAGCAGACAGAGGATGCTCGAAATTATATGAGTCGATAACTTGACCGCATCAAAGATGAATGGTGGAGAAAGTAAATCAAGAAATTCGCTGCCTGGCGGCAACACACCAATGAGTTTCGTGAGGTACACATTGGTGATGAATCCCAATAAGAGGGAAACAGCTAAACAGTGTGGTCGTTGGTTTGTTCGCTGAGCTGGGCAATTTGGTTGCAAACGTTTCATCACCAATCGAGGTGATGTTAGTTAGCTACGGGTTAGTGCGCATCCTGCAACGCTATGCTCAATGGACTATCACAGAGACGACTTCTACATCGAATTCGATTCATGTTATGCTCTTAGTTCCGCCAATTCATGTTTATTCCGATTCACATTTCCCTTCCAACGTGAATTACCGTAGGCGGCTGTCGTCACCGGTTGACCCAGCGCTCTGACTGGTTCTGCTCCTGATTCACTGTCCGGTCAAAAGTCGACGTCTGTCATGTCCGTGCGCTTTAGTATTCCGTGTGACCCCCAAATGAATTCTGTTCTGTCTTCTACAAACGTGACACAAAAATACACTCTAATGCGATTAGTTCCGAAATCGGACAAGTTTTTCTCCCTGGGGGACTTCAATGAGCGTGTCGGTCGAAATGAATCCCTATGGCCAGGTGATCCCGGACGCCACTGCTTCGGGAGTGCCATGAGCAACGGTGACCAACTTCTCATATTTTGCACTATCCATGCGCGCCGACGCGAGATTACGCCTCAAACGGCAACACTGCCACATGGACACAGCCACGCAACCGTAACTCCGCTCGATCACTTTATCCTCCGCCAGTGAGACATGTGCATCACATCCCAGAGTGAAGCCACTAGCCAACCAGCATCATGTTTGAACATGCTTCGTAGGTCGCACTATGTCAACTATATCAATGAGTGCGCAAAAATGGGCGCAAGCCATCTCAGAGACCGCAATAGCCGGTTAATGTACCAGTTCCAGCCGGCCTCCACACTGACAACCTTCAGTTCCTCCAGCACGCTGAAGGAAGCGCAGCACAACTTGATGTCCCAGACGATAACAACAGCAGTCAGCTAGATTCAGCAGCTGCGCGCGAGATGTCCTGACTGGTTGGATCACAATAATTAGTACATAAAACAGAAGTTAGCTGGAACAAACAAGTCTCTCGTCCATCCAATGAGAGAGGTTAAGAGAAGCAGACAGAGGATGCTCGAAATTATATGAGTCGATAACTTGACCGCATCAAAGATGAATGGTGGAGAAAGTAAATCGAGAAATTCGCTGCTTGGCGGCAACACACCAATGAGTTTCGTGAGGTACACATTGGTGATGAATCCCAATAAGAGGGAAACAGCTAAACAGTGTGGTCGTTGGCGCCAGAAATCTGCTCAGCGTGGAATAGAATAGGCAAGTTTCTGGTTAGGTGTTGATGCTGGTTTCCCCAAACAATTACCTACATCAGACAAACTACAAACAGAAATCCCTGCGCGGTCATCTTAATAGATCTAAAGGCTCTGTGAGGCCTGGAGACGCGTTCATATGGACTATGGTGTACCTTCCCTTCATTTATATTGTACACTGTTGTCACGTGACTCCAATTCGAAGTTTTATTTGCTACCAAGCTGTCACCTATAAGGAAGTTTTCACCCGAAAGCAACCAGAAATGTCATAGTCTTCATCATTTCCTCCGACGATGTCATACTCTGTTCGTCTGAACGTGCGAAGCACCCGACCCAGCACGCAGCGCATGCCAGTTGTCAACTCATCATCTTTAGCTGTGAAAAAATTTCGTACTTGTCGTACAGTGGTTATAGCTGGTATTTTCATATGGTTACCTAGTATTAATCATCATTTGATCCCAAGGTAATGTATTCGAAACAACTTCAAAACTGGATCGGCGTGCTGAGATAGAAACCTATGGGTACTCCATTTCAACAAGTTTTTCCCCCTAGCACTTGAGGAAAGTATCAGTTCTTCACTGTAAGGTTAGCTGACAGGCTTCACTAAGGAGCCATACGGTTCAATAAGTCCTCGTCATAAGTTGGCTTGATTTTAGCAGGATGGATTATTTCCCTTGTCCATTTTTGACGATGTAGTAGCCGCTCCGATGTGTTAGAGAGTTTGCGTGTGTGCGTGGCCGCTCCCCAATCCTTTAGTGGCTGATTTGATGCACGCTCAATGGTGCGTGTTTATCTTTCAATCATCAGAGAACCGGCCTGCGATGACTCAGCTGCATACTTAACGTTTCCCAGACAGGCCTGCTAGACCGCATGTACGCGGTACACCTGTGTCCTTACATGCGTGTTTTCTGAGTTACCCCGAGCTAACAACAGATCGTCTGGAGGCTGCAGAAAGTGTCTTGGGATAAAGCGTGCTGTTTTGGAAACTCGAAGGTACATGCAACTCCTCAACGGGATTCGATAAACTGAAAACACTGGTGTCCGACCACAAATGAAGTTAGGTGCACTGGCTACGAATATGGCATGTTCAATTTAGAGAACGAATACCAGAGGATCATAATCTATACGTAACACCCTACTCATAAGCGGACCACCATAAACGCGAGAATCAACTGGATCCAGTTGAGTCTCTTGTCAAAATCAAATGCGTGCGTAAACGAGAGTATTTGTGGAAAATCTGGTATAAATAAATTGCCGATGTTCTGATAGTTCTACTTTGTATCAACATGGACAAGTTGTACTCGTGGACTACAGGACAAAATAGGGACTTTATCGTCACTCTGATGTAAATACTTAGCTCCTCTCTAGGGAAGGAATAAATTCCTCCACTATTCCGTCTTCTATCAAAGGAAGTATTACCTCTGAAATCAAACAACCTTGTTATCCCCCAAAGTGGAATTACAGCACAGAGGTAAACATATCAGCCAAACTTGGTTAGCTATCGGATTTCCAGATGAGAATAACTCAGAAGAGTGGTTGTAAACGGGAGCCAGGAACAGCTATCCCCAGTATCCACCTACATGCAATAGCTGTGCTTCTATTTCCTTGTCCCTCAAATGAGGCTAGTTTAACTAGGAACCCACCTTCCTTGCTGGGATCACTTGTTTGTTACAAGAAAACTTCTCCACCCGCCTTTGTCATCCAGTTGTTGGCGTAATGTGACCGCACCATCGCACCTACCGTAAGTCCAATGGTGGACAGAACTGATTCGATTTCCGGATGAGAAGCGTGTAGATGCGCCCTGGGGAAGACGGTAGGGGAAAATGGCTGTCTTTATAACCTTCGGTAACAGTGCTTCAAATAGGTTGAGAGCACATCCAATATTGGAAAAGGAAGGACCAGCTATTGTGAGACGTCGTCTCGGTAGTCCTTTGATAAAAGCTGCATTTGGGTTCATCTCACTTAGCCGGATTTGTGTCCCAGATTGGCGTTCAATCGATTTGATACGACGATCCGCGAAGGCATCCCTGGCGCACTTGGTATCTTTTACTTCTCGAATGTGTTCCGGGTTACTTAGTCGCGCAACTTTGTCTGTGAATGCTTTTCGTCGGAAAGGCATTAAGTCCTCATCCACCTGGATGGTAAAGATACAATATTTAGGTAGGATGTGGTCTGGAAAACATTTATAATGGAGCTCACTTAGATAAGGCGTTTCAATATTATGTCTTTTTTTGTAAGACAACACTGTATTACAATAAGCTTATTCTTCAAAATTAGTCAGCTAGTAGAAAAATTCTGAACCAGTTTCCTTCATGTTATCATCCTTCTTTATTAGTAAAATGGCGCTGTGCTGACATTAATTCAGAACATCTGGTTTACTCGACGCTTAGTGGAATGCTGAAGGTTCAATCCCTCATCATCATCATGATTGTCAGCTGTAGTAACCGCGTACTCTTCGTACAGTGGTTGCAGCTGCCGCAGTTCCGTTCACCGATGATCGGGGCAGGGGGGTAGGTAGCTGCACATTGCAGGCGGGAGATGGTAAATTGGTATATAAATCCATCACTGTTAGTGGTTCAGTCCCTCACTACACTTACGAGCGGACGCCTGGGAGGAAGGTGTTTCATGCTTAAAAGAAGAGTACCTACGAGAAGCTCTGACAGTTCGCTTTGCGCAAGGTTTGATAGGAGTGACATTGCTACACGATTTTCATGTTCACCATCTATGTCCAACGTACTTAGATGTGTGACGGTGGCCACTTGTGATGAAAGTATCGCTCAAAGTGGAGAGTGATGACATCTGACACCCACTTTTCAGCAAATCACCTGAAGGTGAGGGAAAACCGAACTACCTAAAGCGGTACACATGGGTCTCGGGTGCCAGAATGCCATGGGACACCGCAACACTCCCATTTTACTCTTGTAAACTGTCCTTTACACGGTTAAGTAGAAGTGAATCAAACAAGATATGTATGTACGAAAGTAAGTTACACGTTTGCACAAAGTCTGTGGTTGTACCTTGAGTCAGTTTCGCGGTGGCTGTTTCCACGAGCGACCACTATCACAGCACGGTACCATCGTTCACTTCATAAAGGTGTTCGATTTTTCTAGGTTTATCCAGGACTGGCACAAGTAATCGGTGCACGGATTAGAATGACAAGCATCAAAAAGTTTGTTTTTCATTATTTCAGGAAAAATGAACAAACAGGTGACTCGTGGCGAATTTTTAAAAACTGTTTTGAGAGGGAATCCAGTCTTAAATTTTTGAAAACCAGTGTGTGATCCTTATGTCCTAATCCTGACCGCGTTTGATTTGCACACATACTCCGCAGTACGGCAATCCCACTTGGGAAAAGACTGTTCGGTTCTTTCTGGGGGAGGGTGGAATATTCAGGGTCAACGTATAGGATTCAAAATCAGTTTACTAGATCTTGTGAAAAAGTGAAAGATGTCAGAACTCGTTGTCCAAACAAAGTCTGCACTATTCATTGCTGAGTTCGACTCACACAAAATATTTCCAACCTCTCTAGTTGTAAAGAAAAGTATCGGTTACCACTTGGAAGAAAACCACTTGAGTTACTCAGGGACTGGAGCAATCTCATTTATGACATTTTCCTATCTGGATATCATTTTTCGAAATGCCTACTCAGCAAATTTCCATTCGGTTTAATTGCCTTTTGGTATAAGTGGTGCTGTTACTTGAAATCGATGTCAACCAGTGGCGAAGACCGTCTCCGTCTAACACGATAGCTAACAAATCACCCTAGGGTGGTCCCCACTCAATGATTGGCTTGTCTTAGGTTTGGTTAGCTTCAAGGTCATATTCCTGATGTTTTTCGACAAGATTCACTTATAGCCTCGAAGCGTACATTTCAAAGGGACCCTGGGCCTAATATAGCGTGAAACCCCCCATGACTGAGCGACCACTCAGTCGTTCGTTGCTTTCTGTTTACCGGTACTTTTTTAGAATGAATGGAGTTGGCTCATCGCAGCGGGTGGAAACGAATCTAAAATGTTAGAGCAAAAAACAAGGCTCGTGCGAATGAAAGACGGACTACGCATGCCCAACCATTGCCAACCAAAGAAAGGATCGTTCTGCCTCCCGAAATCTTTCTGGAGGAATTTCGACAGTGTAAATGCCATGGCATGGCAACGCGAAATGAAAGCGGCCACAATCAACTAAAGTACTGTAGGATCCTCGCACCGTCCTAGCTCCTTGTGTGTAGTTGAGATCACCAGGGGACGTGTCACGTAACAGTTCTCAGTGAGAAGAATGCCATCACTTTCTGGCCAGACTAATTAAACTAATAATAATCATCTGACTGTAACACCCCCGTGGCCACAATAATCGCCTCAAAAATACCCTTTCATAGTCATCTTGACAGTTATGATCAGGACATTGATTCGTGGAAATTTCGATTCTCATGTCTCATCCATTTCTGTCACCATGATGATAAGACTAGAAAGTGATGTTTACTCATTAAACAGGGACCAACTCGGAAAGATCGATTTTTTCCATAAAAATATGCAGCCAGCCAGCTTGTGCAATCGGACTTCAAAGCAGTTCTTGTGGTGCGAATATCCTTAATCTAATGAGCTGTTGGGATTAGGGGAGCAGAAACGTTTAGCTTCAGGACTGCTTGATTACCCTCTGGAGAATTCGAGGCCTTACCTATGGTAATAGAATAGTTATTTACCTGTGTATTTGTTATTTATTTGTTTATTTATTTACCAGTAATTTCGAGTCTTGTTGAAACAGTTGAACACAGCAAGCTTGCACAATTATTTTCTATTGTAGCTCTTGTTCCTTTCTGGAGCAAGAAGAAACACTCAGACTAGAGGATTTGACCACATTTTACGGTCTCATCGTTTTGGGGCACCAGTATGATCAGTATAGATCCATAACTTCCATCGTAAATTGATGAAGGTCATAAATTACCGGTAAATAGCCTGTATCTGACCGTATTTTTGTCCACTAAATGGGAAAGGCATTTAATGCTCATCTCATTCGGAAAGAAAGGACAACCTCATCAAGATCTATTGGCATCCCCAAGGAAGTAGGACACTGCACTTCATTTTCATTCGATTATACTCCATCAAACTGGCAGAACAACTTGCTCACAGTTTTCCCCTCTGGTAGTAGTCTCAAGAGGCCAGTTACAATATTCAGATAGAGGCGTTATACCCTTCTGGAGTGCGCATTTAATAGACGTGTTTTTTCACGGTAGCTTCGGTACAGACTGAGTTTTAGAAATTCTCGAAAATGTGATCGAATTTAGCGGCTCCGTCAGACAAATGGTTCTCAATGTCAAATTCATAGTGTGAGCGACCGAGTGAAGGGTATGCCAGCAGGATTTTTCTAGAGAACTAGAGCTATCACAATTTGTTGCGACAAACTAACATGCTGGTAGTTCTCCTCTGATATGCATGAAAATCAGTCAGTGTATACTTCGAGCAAATGGTGTGAAGATTTCCAAAATAGTTTCTTCGTTTGTATAACCATTGTCACCACCAGTGTGAATACTGACATCGCAGAACGAACCTCGTACCGTCCTACTTGAGGGTGGTGATGTTCCATTGGAAGGGTGTAGCCGTCTTCGAAATGAATCAGAGGGTTTCAAAAGAGCTTGGTAAACAATCGGTAGTTTTTATTGGGGCAACGTTTTGCTTTTGACACAAAAGCTTCATCAGGCTTGACAGCCGCACTTCCCGACAAGAGCCGTTAATTGACACTTAACATTGATCTAGTGTGATAATCTGAAGAGGACTGACTTACTGATTGGTTCCCCGTCTATCTTATAACCTGGCCAATTTGGTGACCTGTTTACTTGGCCTGATGAAGGTTTTTGTCAAAAGCGAAACTTCGCCCAAATAAAAACTGCCGATTGTTTACCAAGCTCTCCTGAAACGATGACTTCTCAATCGGTCAATCGGTTCCAAACTCTTCCCAATTTATTGAATCAGAGGGTATTTCGTTCTAGGAGGTGATAACTATTTAATTAGTGTGACACCCTTGGAGCTGCTGACTTTTGTTGGTTTCCTTTGGTCGCGTTCACATCCGATCAGTGACGCTATATCCTGTCCAAGTGCAAGCTAATCATACTGGTAATCAACTACCCTTGGCCTAATTGTTTAGTGTTCAGACCCCTCACCAGGAGGTCGTATGTTCGAAATCCCATGCACACTGCTGACGATTCGCAATAAGGATGAACGGCTGTTCAGTGATTCTAGGCTTTTTTTAAAGCATAAATTGGCACTATCGGTTTATTTCAACTTCAGTTTGGTGCATATGTGATTAGAAACTGCGCTGCATACTGAAAGTACCTGAATCCTACTACGAACCCACAATTCCTTTTTCATGCCAATGTCGCAACACAGAACTCGACAAGTGAGAACCGGTTGATTCGTCTATCTGAACAGCCAATCAGGTTATCCTACTACGAACCCACAATTCCTTTATCAGTCAGCTTCGTTGATCCAGTCGGTAACCACGCACGGGTTGCATTCACCATATCGGCGCATGATCATCCAATCATAGTGATTGGTACTCATTGCTGAGTTGTGCTTTCAATATGAGCAAAAGTGCCGTTCTTTTTAACACGCGAGTCCTCGCTGATTGTACAGTGGAGGGTCCTTCATACATACATATACGCATACAAATATTCCTTGGGTCATGCACTGCAAAATCAGTAGCGCACATATGTACCTGATAAAAAAGGTTATTGGCAAACCTTGTTTGACATGATGGAATATAAGCTATCTAGGTTGTTCATCTCTGGTTACACCTGATCAACTGCCTATGTTTCGCATTTCAGTGAAAGCCACTAACATGCAGCTTTCTTTCTTCATAAAATTCAAAAACACATCTCGGAAGATAATCCAGTTAGATCGATCTGTAGCAACCAAAGATTTTGAAACGTACACTTCAACCTTGCTCATGCGTGAAGGAGCAAACGAAAGTTTTTCAAAGCTCTTTCAATGAGGCGTCAGTTGAGGCATTTTCCGGCGTCAGTAAGAAACCGACCATGTAATATGCATAAAATATAATGTGTATAAAATGTGTAATCAGTGAGGTATTTTGAGATTGTTGATTGCTCCGCCAAATAATACTACCCGGAATAAGGACAACGCCTTCAGAAAAACCGGTGACTTTGTTCCCCAAAATTTCACAACTTGAAACCTCACCAGAAGTGTCAATTCCAGATGAAATCATCAGACAGTACACGGCTGCTCGTTAAAAAAGACACGTTTCCACACAGTTGCTTGCCAGTATGCAATTTCCAAACTGCTTACACATTGTACGGCTAGACTATTTTGTAGTCTCTGCCCAATATCGATTGACTGTGGATGGCAAATAAGATCAATGTTTCCAATGTCATTTGGAAGATCTCCCATCGAATTATATCAGCTGCTTGGATAAGTTTAGGATTAGACTGGGTAATGCGGATATAACAGAGTGGGTCACTTCGTTATCCCATTTATCTCAAATGAATGGATAAATTAAAGGAGAGCCAACCGATCGCATTGATCGATGGCACGAAATTGCTGACCCCGATGAGTCGGCCAGTTCTGTTCTCCGTGCGAGAACATTGATTAGTGTATAAAGCCACAGTCATTGCAACCTTTTTACAACAGCGGAGCCTTGCTTATGACTAGTGTGCATTCGCTCCATCCTCCGGTGAAATCGTGCGGCCGGGACTACCTAAACCACCCGCACATACCACTGGTTTGTTAGTTTTCATGCCAATGTCGCAACACAGAACTCGACAAGTGAGAATCGGTTGATTCGTCTATCTGAACAGCCAATCAGGTTATGCGGTAGGATAAGCAAACCTCTGCACTCGTGCACTCGAAACGCTGTACCACGGCGCACGTTTTGTCCTTGTCTTTAGGAAAATCTAGAAACTACTCGAGAAGGCCAGGTCGACCGAGTGAAGTTGTGTTTTCCGGCAGTCATTGATGCACGGGTGAGTTTGGATCAGCTGATTTATTACAAACGTATTTTTTCAACACTTATGCTGCTTTTAGACAACTGAGAACTGATGTGAAAAATAGAGTTTGGAGTGGTCAGCAGTTGCAACCGTAGCTGTCGACGACAACCATTGAAACTAGTGACTGCACACAGAATAAGCATATGTAAAGCAAGAATTTTCTTTTTTTTTTAAATAAAAAATTAGCTGTCTTATCGTAGCAGGATTGTTAAGTGTTAATAAGGCTTATGCTTTTTAATGGCGCCTAGATTACGATAACGGGACGAGAAATTCTGGTTGGTTTAGATATCAACAGATTTGTTGAAGTGATTCTTCGTGAATCAACAGGATGAAAGAGAGGTCAAGCAAGATTCTGGCCGATAAACTTATCAGTCCACAAATGACCTGAATCTGACTTACCGTTGCAGATGAGAAGTAGACGAAAAAGCAGTAATGACACTGGTGCTTTTTGCACATGGCTATGGTTTTTGGACTTGCGTTATCCAAGTCACGTAACGCTGTCGGATCAGGTTCCAGTAGTGCATCGGAAAAATGGCTTTCAAAATCGCTTTCTTCACTTTCCCCACTTTCTTCCCGGGTAAGCTCTCGAATAAGATGTCGCTCGGCTTCATCGGATCCTACCTGTCGATTTGAACGGGACACAACAGGCGGTTGTGGTGAATGTGAATACGCCGCAGCTCTCTGAGTGGTTTTCTTCACTGGAGCCGGCCGTTTGGCCGGTTTAGGCAGTTCACTACGTGAAATGGATCTAGCAGCCGCTGGAGCATCAGATGCTGAAATTGGAGATTTGGGGTTGTGCGGGGTGTCTACTTGTAATGCGGGACTTCTGGAGGCACTAGGTTCGTCGGATAGCCTGCTTGAGGGTGACTTCACATAGGGAGAAGTTTTGGACTTCATGTCCTTAGATTCGTCCATGTACTCAGTATTGTGTAAGTCGGACATCGTTGATCCGCCTCTTTGCTCAGATTCGATACGGTTCTGACCCGCAGTCGAATTGGTGCGGGTATTGACATGAGATAATGAGTTCCCTTCACTCTCAGTCCCGACAGCCTTATTCTGATTCAAGTCATCTGGATTGTACGTTGTGGAGTCTTCATTGGGCATATATTTGTTCAAAATGCCAACGGCTCTGGAAAAGTTGGGGTCCAGCTGTAACAAAATTTCCTTTGCGGATCTCGTCCCTTCACTGTTTGAATCGTTCCTTAATCCAGGGGGTGTAACAGATCTACGCCGCATAGTTTTCCGCTGTTGCATAGGTCAGTACAGTCAGGGACTACCTAGTCAATCCAAGGTGTGCGGTGATCGATACAAGTAACGATTTTTCTTTGGTGTTGATTTTGAACCGTTCGTCATGCCGCGTGACACAGAAATGATCTGGCCTGACAAGCAACTGGTTCACCTGGTCTCTAATCCTATGGTGAAGTCCTCATTATCCTGTAAATCACAGTAAAGTCGTCACCCTTTAGGTTAACAGCACCGGACCAGATAAACGGGGACAAAAAACCACTCTGATGTTAGTTAAGTCAGAAACTCAGGAATTCAGCGGTTATGGATGGAATACAGATTAGTCCTAACAAAGCTAACATAAATGGAACCCATTTGGTTTAGTGCTTTAAAGTACTTTTTTTGCAAATGAGACTTTAGACGGGTTTTGCGCTCTCATGTACTCGAGAAGTCAATCCTCATGTGATGCTCATAAGGTTCTGCACCTAGATCTAGCAATTGGTATATTTTATACCTTCGTTATAAGCAATATATTTAGGCAATGAAATTTCCCTCTCTAATTTGGGATGAATAAAGTTTATTGACCTGTCGGGCAAAGTGCCTGATACCACGTCGAACTTGATATCCGGGCAGCCTCAGTTGTCTGCACTTTAACCCAAGAGAAATCAGTGAAGGTATAAAAAAAGGGAACTGACTTCGCGGGATACACTCATTTTCAAACTAAATGGGTTTTAAGGAGAGGCTTAACCAAATCCCAGTTGAAACTCTCGTTTGTAAAATTCTCTAACTCAATGCGCTGAATGAAGGCTGTCCCATTTTTTTATCGGGGCGATTTTCGGGATATCGCAGTACATTGGTTGGATGGAACGCAACACTAAATTTGCTGAAAACTGTTCGGCAGCCGACCGTGGGTTGTTGAAGGACTTTCAACAACTTTATAAGTAATGCGTTTCGTCAAAAGGATCTGGGTTTTTTTGCAGCACATTTATAAGAATGTCACCGTGAGAAACACTGTAGACCTTTCAGGTAAGCTGTCGGTAATTTTGTTTAGACAAAACTGAATGGTTCAAACGTCCCTTTTGGCCCTGCCGAACAGTTGGTTCTATTGCCGTAGTGAGAAAGTGTTGTAGGAACACGGCAGGAAAATCTTCATACCAACGAGATTTATTTCACTGGCAGAAATTGTTGCATTCAGTATTCTGATCAAACCACTCCACATCGTCCCTTGCACAATCAAATGAGAATGGGAAATAGTTTGAATATTGGCCATTAAGTTTAGGTGAGAGCTGATCCCACTGCTGATCAACCGCTCGTGACTAGGCGGTTAAGTGTTCAACCACTGGCCGGAAGGTTGTGGGTTTGAAACTCTCTGGATTCTGTTGGATTCGCACTCATCACGGTTCCCAACAAGGATGAAACAACTGTACGGTGCTTCTCGGCTTTTCAGCGCAGACTGACTTCAGTGACAGGACAAAATCTCTATAGAAAATGATCTAATCTCCTCACAACATCATCAATCTACTCGGTACGTGTTGTTTTCGAGGTCCATTGTGTTTAAACTCGGCGGATTGATGACAAGAAAAGTGAGCAGATGGACGTATAAGATGGTAATCAGTGGTAATCAGCCCGAACTAAGTCAACTGACACTCACCACAGGAACGATAGGAAATATCCGTAGCGCCACAAGAACCAAAAACGTTTTAACTGTAACAATCGCACAGATCATAATCCGACCTAGAACAAAGGAATACTAGGAAGTTTTGAACCATTGAATCGCATCACACTTTTCTTTTTCAGGAACTCCTATCTTCACTGATGCAAATGTGGCGTAATGGTGAGCCTCCGGCAGAACAACAAAACGAACTCCAGCTGAATCCATTGATTCTGTCACTGTTAGTATACGAAAAAAAGCTCAGTAAGAATTTTGGTCGTTGGCTTGTTTGCTGAGCAGTTTGATTGCAAACATTTCATCACAAATCGAGGTTAAATCACCAGTGCGTTATTGCGGAACGTAGTGGTGTGTAGCGGTGGGTTAGTGGTTGTGCGTTCAGTAGTGTTACGTGTGTGTTAATATACGTGCTGCTAGCCGGGGATG